ATATAACTCTTCTCCCATTGTTACATGAAGGTATTACATGATGAGGGTTGAACATTTTCGTAGCAGACTAGACTAGACTATCTGTCTATCTATCTATCTATATATCTATCTATCTATCTCTCTCTCTCTCTCTCTATATATATATATATATATATATATATATAACTCTTCTCCCATTGTTACATGAAGGTATTACATGATGAGGGTTGAACATTTTCGTAGCAGACTAGACTAGATAGACGACTTTGCAATTTACCGCTTACGTTTATTTCAAACGTCTGCAGCACACGACGGTAACCGCCACCTGTCGGTGGTAGAATCCTCAGCACCTCCTTAACGCAGCTGTTGACATAGTCTAACTTGTTGATCAGCGGCAGCTTCAGCGGGGCTTCTGGGTCCGTCAGGCCAAAGTCTTCCAGCTCCTGCCGAACTTTGCCGAGGGCCTTCGGGTTTTTGTAGAGCTGCATCGCTAGCATCGAGCATGCGCTGCTCGTCGTCTCGTGTCCGAGCAGAAGCATCTCGAAGATGGCGAACTTTAGTTCTTCTCGCGAGATCCCGGACTCGCTGGCGGCGTCTGCGTGCCAGGCGGTCACCAGGCGGGAGAATGCCTTCCCGTTTGGTATGTGATCGGTACCGCTGGTCAAGTGTTCGAGTTCCCGATCTATCAGCGTGTCCATCTTCACGAACAGTTGATCTCTGGACTTCAAAGCCTGTTAGGCAACAAGAGAACAACAATTATTTTCTCCGGCTAAGGAGCAAACTAACGCTACAACTTATATACATATTACCGCAAAACTGTAAGTAGTAGAGCATTCCGTAGGACCGCAATGGCAAGGTTACGTGGGCGTAAACGCGCTGTATATGCATTCAGATATCAAAGAAGCGGTATCCGGGGTAGTCGACAGTTCAACGGCGAACTGCTAGGCAGTCAGGCACGCGCAGTAGCGATGTAAATCCCTTTGTAAGCGGGCGCGATTGGCTGGTTTCTGTTGAATTACCGGTATTACACTTTTAGCCCAAGGCAGTTCATACTTTGCGTGTCCCCGTGCAATCGCTGCGTCTATAACCATCTCCCCCGTTATCTCTCTCGTTCTCCCTCTGCCTCCCTCTCTCTCTCACGCTCGTTCTCTCTCTCTTTCTCTCTCTCTCTCTCTTTATCGTTGGTTCTGTCTGTCTCTCGCTCACCCCTCTCTCTCACTTTCGCTCTTCCTCTCTCTCCCCCGCTCTAGATCTCAATCTCGCTTACGGTCTCTCTCTCTCTCCCTCTCCCCCATCTTTCTTTCTCTCTCTTTCACTCACTCTCTCTTGATCGCTCACTCTATCCCTGCTAAGAAGTTCCGCGAAGCGACCCTATCACCAAATTATCCAGTGGCACTCTCGTCACATGTTTACGACAAACTTCGAGGTTGACCTCGGCTATGTGTTAATCTAGTTACTGCTCGATATGAGCGGTCGGGAGCCTACTTGGGGGCTGTTGCTAAGTAAACTGAAAATCTCGAACATGTCGCTTAGAGTCAGACCGAGCCACAGTGCAACCAATAGCAGGCGACGTCTGCCTGTCTGTCACCTGGCAGATTTACGACAGGCTCTAATTAAGCCGCGCTTGACGACGATGGGTGTCCTTACCGACGCGCAAACACAATAACAACGACGCCGACAATAATGAGTCTGTTTACGACAGAAATGGCAGAAATTAGAAGGAGTTTCTGGGTGCACGGAGAGAGCATTTCGTCGGCCATTGAGCCGCTCCGTACACGCTCACCCCGAGGTAAGATATACCCGCAGACGCGAAAAGCGCGCGTTGCTAAGCGCGCGCAGACGAACGCTAATGGCAGCGTGGGTCTATACCTTGTACAAGCCGAGTCCGGGTATCTTCACGGGAAGACTGAAGAGGTTATTGAGCACGTTCTGGTAGAGGGCGGCCCATTCGCTCAGCTCGCTGCCCCGGAAGTCGATGCCCAGCAGACAGTCGGCTGCGACGCGAAACGTCATCTCCTTGATCTTCGGCTGCAGCAGAACGACGTCGTCGGCGTCCAAACACTGTTGAACGACGTCGGCGGCGACCTCCTCGATGCCTGGCACGTAGCTAGCCAGCGACGTCGCGTCGAACGCCCGCATTACGGCGCGTCGGCGCCGACGAAGCGTGTCGCCCTCTGCCGATACGAGTCCGTCGCCGAGTAGCATTCGTACGCTGGCTGGCCACTTGCTCGTCACTAGCGTGCCCTCGCCTCGCAGCACCTTGGCGACGTTGTCGGCGCCGATGACGCGAATTGTCGGCTGGCCGAGTATGTGCGTCTTGTAGACGTGTCCGAACGCTTCCCGCCGGCACTTGTAGAACTCGGCGCCCTGCGTGAGTGAAGGATGCGATACTGCAGCTTCGTACGGATATATGTGTGTGTGTGTGTGTGTGTGTGTGTGTGTGTGTGTGCGTGCGTGTGTGCGTGCGTGCGTGCGTGTATATGCGTGTCCGAAAACGCGTGTTCATGTGCGAGCGTGCGTGGGTTGGCGTGTTTGCGCCCGCATTTACTTGAGTTAGCATATCAGATGGTTTGTATAATAATTCTGTCTTTGTATTTTGGCTGCAAACTCGTTCCCCTTATATGATATTGCTATAAATCATGTATACATTTCTTGCTATATACACTGAAAATAACACACACGCACTCGCGCACGCATATATATATATATATATATATATCCCCGGTGTAAGGCTTATAACCTCGTCAACATATAGAATCGAGTAGCTTTGCTGGACTAAAGCTGTTACAGAAACCAAAGAAATACAGTTACCGAGCTCTATGGTTGGAGCCAAGAATTCATTTCTAATTCTAAATCCTGCATGAATTCTAACAGACCGCGAAAACCACCGTCGTGTAATGAGTCATGGTAAAGCTAGAATCGGCAGACATATATTACTTTGCACCTGCGATAAAGGAAATACCTAGACGAAATACACGTTGGACGATGTCAGACTTCTATTTGCATATGCAAATGCAAATTCTATGCGCGATGCCTATTATCAATTGAGGAATTGTTTTCGTGCGCTGATTCCGGTTTAGCAGTCGCTACGATCACACCGCTTACGTTAGACCAACGTCATTTAGACCGTACGTAATCATTTTCCCAGTAGTTCAAATAATTAGATTCGTTTCTTGCGCTAGTCGAAAAGTTCAAAGCGCACGTTCTTTACACCCGCGTTTATCTAAAGCGAAACATCGACGAAATCGTATGATCCTGATCAACGCTGCGGTTTCATGTGCATCGCGCGTGATAGCGCGTTTTTTTGCCCGACGCGTGCCCGCGCGGCAAGGCGCGATAAATCTCGTACTTACCCAGATAGCGAAGTGCGCCGTCTCTCCGATGAATGGAACTCCATAGGTACCCGGCGGTAGAGGCAGGCCGCAGGCGCGGTCCCGGGAAGCGTTGACGTGCAGACGCCAGAGATGTAGCGTGGCTAGGCATAGCATGAGCGGCACTGCAGCCGACAAGCAGACGAGAAGGATTTCGATAAGCATCGTTGGTGGTGACTATGTTGCTGCGGTCCTCTTATTCGCCGGTCCTTTTCCTCCTGAGTCTTCTCGCTTGCCGCTCTCTGGTTTCTTTCTCGAGCTGTTTCTTCCTTCTCACAAGCTCCGTCTCTCCGGCTTTCTAGCGTGTGTCGCGACGATAGGTATTCTGGAAGTATCGATACGTCTCTGTCTCGTTCTCTCTGTCGATGTGTATGTCTCCCTCTCTCTCTCTCTCTCTCTGCGTGCGTGGGACTAGAACGGGTTTCCTCTTCGCTGTGATGGATGGGTCGATCCTTCGCGAAACCGACTTCGTCTTCGTTCCTCGGAGGGCGGCTTAAATAGCGAGGCGGCGGGCGCAGGTGTCTGCGCTGATTGGTCGGAATATGGACCAGTGCCGGGTCAAGCTTCGTTCACACGCGCCGCGCGCGCGATTGACGGCGGTTTTGTCAGACGGTCCGGGCCGTGCGCACAGCACGCGCTGCCGCCGCCGCCCCGGCCGCGCGAGCGCAAGGCCCGCCTGTCACCACCTCATCACGTCACCATGCAATGACTGAAACTTGTGTAGCCATCGAGGGACGAAGCAAGTGACGTCATCATGAACTGAAACTAGTAACGTCACCAAGAACTGAAACTAGTGACGTCACCAAGAACTGAAACTAGTGACGTCACCAAGAACTAAAACTAGTGACGTCACCACGAACTGAAGTAGTGACGTCACAAAGAACTAAAATTTTCACCATGCAATGACTGAAATTTGTGTAGCCATTGAGGGACGAAGCAAGTGACGTCATCATGAACTGAAACTAGTAACCAAGAACTGTAGTAGTGATGTCACCCAAGGACTAAAACTAGTGACGTCACCAAGAGTTGAAACTAGTGACGTCACCATGAGATGAAACTGGTGACGTCACCACGAACTGAAACTTGGGACGCTATCAATGGTTCAAACTCGTGACGTCACCAAGGATTGAAAATTATGAAGGCACCAGCAGGTATAAAATTTCTGACGTCAGCAGTAGGACTGGAATTCGCGACATCAGCAAGAATCACAACTTGTAACATCGGTAGCAGGGTTGAAACTTGTGACGTTGACAACAGGACAGGAGCTTGTAACATCGCCATTACTACCGCCTGTAACTAACCGCCCCTAGCTAACCACCTCTAGATGAGTCCCTCTGTATGATTCGTCAAACGACCCACATGACCTCCCTCGCCCGATCCCCGACTCTGGGCCGTCCCTAGACAGTCAAGCATCCTTGTATTAATTACATCTTTGCATCAATCACACCTACGCACGGCGAGGCTTTCACGTGCTCACCACTTCCGGGGAGAATTCTCCGGCTGAAGGCCGCGCGCACGCGAGGCATACGCGTGTTCTCGAGGGTCGCACTTTTCCCTAATATCTACTTCTGATATACATATATATACATACATATATAAGCGTAGCCGCATACATATTCGCGTTATATGACGTTGGAGAAAACAGCAGCTGGCGCTCCTGCTTCTCGGTTTATACGCTAAACAGCTTCGCCACACACACACGCACGCACGCACGCATACACACATGCACGCACGCACGCGCGCACACACGCACGCGCGCACGCACGTACGTATACGCACGCATTCACGCGCGCCCGGCACACGCACGTACACACGCCCGGGCACACACACGCACACACGCACGCACGCCCGCACGCACGTACGTACGCACGCATTCACGCGCGCCCGGCACACGCACGCACACACACACACACGCACACACACACACACACGCACACACACACACACACACACACACACACACACACACACACAAACACACATGCGTGTTCGAGGGTCGCACTACTACCTGTAGCTGTATATCGTCGCCCCGTATAGCAGTGAACATCACACATACACGTGTTCGCGTATCGTATGACGATCCGAGGCACCCCGGACGCGGGCGCCGCAGCAACATCGCGGTAGCAACCCGCGGGTCTGTACCGTGGCCGCGTGCTCTTCACGTGCACGTCCCATGCCTTCACCTTCGCTGACGTCATTGACGTGCCATCGCATCTGTTAGAATATGTAGCGGCGCTGATGGGTTGACGGAGCAAGAGGGAACGCAGATACACACGCGCGCGAAAAAATACGCACCCGGGTGATGTGCACGCGCGCGCGGGCGCAGGCAATCATGCACGCCCTCCAGCACACACGCACGCAGACGCGCACGCACGCGCACGCACACACGCACACGCACACACACACGCACACGCACGCACACGTTATATATAATTTTATATATATATATATATATTCAACGCATGGTTGCGCCCGCAGAGAAAATCTATTTATGTTAGATTTCAGGGAACTTACATGACTGTGAATATATTGCAAGTTTGTTGCATTCTGCTAGTTAATACTCAAGCAGGCAGACCGAACTAAATGTTTGATTGCTTTACAGTTACAATAATAACGTTGTTCTGGGTACAGATTATGTAGGCATTGTGGACGTTTAGATGTAGATTCTGATAGCGTACGTATTCAGGGGTACATTGGACAAGCCTATTGTGTACAACCAATACGTACACCAACCTGTATGTTTTTGGTACATTTGTCAGTAGTTGTAAATTGGGAGTAAATTATTTGAAAGTATTTTACGGGTATGATGCACATAACGAGAAGGGCGAATTTTTGTCACGATATAAAGCAATTACTAATTAGAGCATTTAACACAGAGCAATAACAGTCCCACTAAACTACGCACTCCTCCTTTGAATATTTATTATCTAAAGACTTCTATGCAGTCCAACACTGTACAAGACATTAAAATTCCACAATTTAATGCGAAATAAGGCGAAAGTAAGTGAGGGGTTTTTTGTCAAAATTTTCAGGCATTATTTATATGCTAGTACAATTTATTCGTGACGATTGTGAAAAGACTGCACGCGGCTAGCACCTGATAGCATATTGGACATGACCCTCAAACGTTTGCTTAACTTTTTCTTCACACTTACTTTTGCTTCACTTTCACTTTTACAACTTCTATCACAGCGGCTCATTAGATAAACGATCCCATGCTAATCGTTTTTAAACGTAACTTTGGCGGCTAGCGTAGACAAATACAACATGTGTACATACACTATGTTTCCGGTATGCTTATATCCATACGAATGCAAACCTATATAATAGGTTCCGATGGCACCGCGAAAAGGTCATACGATTAAATATTTGTTTTAAAATCAATCGATTACCGCATCATTAAATACATACTGAGATGATGCGTACTTAGAAACGTCATAGATAGTTGTCCCGTTTAATAGTGTTCCAGTAAATTTCTCTGCATTCTAAACACATACTTGCACAATAGCACAACTGAAATAGTCACATAATTTAGAACACGCAGTGGTTGTTTCTGAATATACACGCATAGCAAGCCGTCTCAGAATACACATGAGTGCGATAAAAAGAACAGGTAGCTACATTCTTCAACATCACGTTTAACGGTACACATATTATCATAATATGATGTTTTATGTACCCGTCCACCCTATCCAAGCCGCCACTACTTATAGTCAAATACCAATCGAAGAAGATATCAAAATTTAGTTACATGGAATCTCGACACATATACTTAAATCGAACATGTACAAAGGCAGCGTCATCACGCACAATAAATCATTACCCGGCCATGCGGTAGACTATTTGTATTTTTCGGTTTTACCTTGATTTATGAACTATATTTGACAAGAATATCCAGCTATACATCTGTAGGTAACGAGACGAGAAACACACAATGCTTCATCTGACGTCAATACGTGCGGTTGCTTGCCTTTCTAAATCACATCAGTACATGATAAATAATTCGTTTGTATACGTACTCCTGATAACTTTACTATGAACCGATGGTGCAACCGTTATTATTTGCGTAGATGACGCACACACGTATCGACTACAACGCCTGCATCATAAACGCAACACACGACGTTAGTTATACCGATAAAGATATCCGTGGTAACAAGAGTGCATAATAGAGAGTCTCTATTATGCACTCTTGGTGGTAATCACAGATTCACGGATAGCACATAGACTCACCTAAATATAGCGGCGAAGCACTGTACGACAACAGTGAATACCGCCCCCAACCCCCCGAAATGGCATAAACGTTTAGTTGATTTTATTATTAGATTATAATATTTTGTATTTTAGATATTCTCAAGTATTAAATGATTTAACCCCGTGAATACCCGGAGTGCGCAGAGAAACACCAGCGACGGCCAGGAATACGTCCCCAACCTAGAATACACACGTAGGCCTACACTAAGATGTAACCATCCTCCTTATTTCGGAGCGAGATTTTTCCTTTACGATCATAATTTCTTATTTCTTCATGTGATTGTTCAATTACGGTCATGTTGTACTTGAAATGCAAACAGAATAAATAAGTAAATAAATAAATACATAAATAAAT